GCGAGAAGGCCGAGGCAACTAAAGGCAGAGGATCATTTGGGACAGAGTTGAGGAAAGGTGCCTCCACTCTGTCCCAGGTGGCTGCTCCTCTCTCTCTCTCTGGGTTTTCTTTGTGACCAGATGCTATTCTCAGAATTGCAAGGACTTTCCCCAGGTGTTTGGGTTATTGGGTAATAGGGAAATGTAACTTTTCCCAGGCATTACCTTCCAGAACACCTGCTTGAGGTGACATTACAAAAATACCCTGTTCTCCCCCACTCTTTTATGAGTACCTTTTTAGTTGATCTGATTAAACTGAAATTTTAGATTTTATTTCTGTGCTTGTATCTGTCCAATTTGAGGACATGTGTGTGTGTGTCAGGAGGGGAGAGAGAGAGAGAGAGAATATGAATATACGTGATTGAATGAACGGGTGGATGAATGATGAATGAATACCTTTTCTGAAGAATCTGTTATATTAAACTAGATAGTTTAAAGCCCCAGGAATGAAGGCTTTCTGAGACTGATACTCTTAGGTAAATTTATAGAATTTGAGAAGTGAAAGAGAACACAGAGATCATATGACTCAGACTTTTCCAAATATATATTCCATTAAAAAAGAAGTCCCTAGGTCAAATAATTTTGCAAAAGTTGGAGACTTACTACACTTATTACCAGATTAAAGGCTGAGTTTCTTTAAACTAGTGGTTACCAGTGGGGAGAGAGCAATATAGGGTTAGGGGCTTAAGAGGTATATAAACTATTAGGTATAAAATAAGCTACAAGGATATTTTGAACAACATGGAGAATATAGTCAATATTTTATAATTATATGTGGAATATAACCTTTAAAAATTGTGAAATCACTGTATTGTACACCTGTAATTTATATAATACCGTACAGCAGCTATATGTCAATAAAACATTTTTTTAAAAGCGCTGAGCGTTCTTGTTTAAAATACTGTTTAACTAGTGTTTCCCCAATTTATTTCACTACGGACCTCCTTTTTCCTTCTCCCTGTCTTCTGAGCTATATATGTATAGAACAATTATCATTGCATAGACATACAAGGTTCCAGAAAACATGGTTTGGGAATGCTGATTTAATCTAATCCTTGTATTTATTTTGGACTTGCCACTTAACTTCTCTTGGTCTTTGTTTTTTTTTTTTAACTTTTATTGGAGTAGAGTTGCTTTACAATGTTGTGTTAGTTTCTACTGTACAACAAAGTGAATCGGCTCTACGTATACATATATCCCCTCTTTTTTGGATTTCCTTCCCATTTAGGTCACCACAGAGCATTGAGTAGAGTTCCCTGTGCTATACAGTAGGTTCTCATTAGTTATCTGTTTTATACATAGTATCAGTAGTATATATATGTCAATCCCAATCTCCTAATTCATCCCACCCCACCTTCCCCCTTGGTGTCCATACGTTTGTTCTCTACATATGTGTCTCTATTTCTGCTTTGTAAATAATATCGTCTATACCAGTTTTTTCAGATTCCACATATATGTGTTAATATACGATACTTGTTTTTCTCTTTCTGACTTGGTCTTTGTCCGTGTTTATAATGAGTAGATTGAATGAATTAATCACTAATGTCACTCCTGGCTGTGACATTTTCTGGTTCAGATTCATTAACCTAACCAACATTTAAAAAGTTATATCTGTTTCTGTATTAAAGAATCTTGTTTTTCTTGTTTCTCTTTATAACCATAGCCCTTAGTACAGTGCCTGGCACATAGTAGTATCTAAGTGTTGTTGAACAAATATATATATACCTATTAATTTCACAGCACTGTGCCAACTATGCCTTGAAGCCTCAAGAGAAGGCTTGAGAAGAAAAGATCTTGTTCTTGCCCTCTAGGAACTTACAGTCAAGCTGGTGACTTTCCCAAGTGCATGGGATGTGCCAGGGAGAAAACCCAAGTTAGATTTTGATTGTAGGATAATCTGTAGGATGATAATGTATTGAACATGATTTCTGACCCTGAGTCGGATGTGTGGGCTAGAACACAGGTGGGTTGTGTCATCATAACTTTCATGAGAAAAGGTGTCATTTAGAGTTTATGGTCAAGGTAGCAACCACGTAGTTCTTTGTTTGTTTATTTATTTATGGCTGCGTTGGGTCTTCATTGCTGCGCGTGGGTTTTCCCTAGTTGCGGTGAGCGGGGGCTGCTCTTCGTTGCGGTGCGCGGGCTTCTCATTGTGGTGGCTTCTCTTGTTGCGGAGCACGGGCTCTAGGCACACAGGCTTCAGTAGTTGTGACATGCAGGCTTCAGTAGTTGTGGCTCGCGGGCTCTAGAGTGCACGTTCAGTAGTTGTGGTGCCGGGTTTAGTTGCTCCACGGCATGTGGGATCTTCCTGGACCAGGGCTTGAACCCGTGTCCCCTGAATTGGCAGGCGGATTCTTAACCACTGTGCCACCAGGAAAGCCCCCGCCATGTAGTTCTTTTATCCCTGGCAAGGACTTTATATTACCATCATCTGGTATTAGTCAAAATTTTTTTAAAATTCTTACGAACTTTTATTCTTTTTTTTTTCACATTTAAAAAATACATTTCTAATATGTTGTTTACTTTAGACCTTCTAGTTTCATAGATCATTCATTCATTCATTTAGATATAATTGACGTATAGCATTATTAGTTTTAGGTATACAACATAACTTGATATATGTTTATACTTGGAAATGATTACCATGGTAAATTTAATGTCTATCACCACACATAGTTACCATTTTTTTTCTTACAATGAGAACTTTTAAGATTTGCTCTTTCAGTAACTTACAAATATACAATACAGTATTGATAACTGTAGTCACTGTGCTGTACATTACATCCTCAGGACTTATTATCTTATAACTGGAAGTTTGTACCTTTTCACCCCCTTCACCTGTTTCACCTACCCTTCTACCCCCCACCTCTGGCAACCACCAATCTAGTCTCAGTATCTGTGAGTTTGGTTTTTGTTTTTGTTTTTTTAAGATTCCACATGTAAGTGAGATCATGCAGTATGTCTTGCTCTGACTTATTTCACTTAGCATAGTGCCTTCAAGGTCCATTGATGTTGTCACAAATGGCAGAGTTTCCTCCTTTTTTGTGGCTGAATAATATTCCATTATGTATATATTAATTTTCTATATCAGTCATTCTTTGATAGACACTTAAGTTGTTTCTGTGTCTTGGCTATTGTAAATAATGCTGCAGTTAAACATAGGGGGTGCAGATATCTTTTCGAGTTAGTGTTTTCATTTCCTTCAGATAAATACCTGAATCATATGGTAGTTCTATTTTAATATTTTGAGGAACCTCCTACTCTATTTCATAGTGGCTGCACCAGTTTACATTCCCACCAACAGTGCACAAGAGTTCTCTTTTCTCCATATCCTCGTCAACACTTGTTATTCTTTGTTTTTTTGATAATAGCTATTCTAACAGATATGAGGTGATAGCTCATTGTGGTTTTGGTTTGCATTTCTCTGATGATTAGTGATGTTGAGTGCTTTTTAATGTACCTGTTGGCCATCTGTATGTCTTCTTTGGAAAAACATCTATTCAGATCCTCTGACCATTTTTTAATTGGATTGTTTGTGGAATTTTGTTCTGTTTTTGCTATTGAGTTATGAGTTCCTTATATATTTTGGATATTAACCCCTTATCAGATATATGACTTGAAAATATTTTCTCCCATTCAGTAGGTTGCCTTTTCATTCTGTTGATAGTTTCCTTTGCTGTGCAGAAGCATTTTAACTTGATGTACTACCCCATGTTTCTTTTTGTTTTGTTGCCTTTGCTTTTGGTGTCAAATTGAAAAAAATCACCAAGACTAAAATCAAGACATCAAGGAACTTACTGCCTGTGTTTTCTTCTAGGAGTTTTGTGGTTTCAGGTCTTATGTTTAAGTCTATAATCTATTTTGAGTTGACTTTTGTGTATGGCATAAGATAGTGGCCCAGTTTCATTTTTTTTTTTTATAGACAGGATTGTAGGCAGTTTAATATAATTTGCTTCAATACAATTTAATACAATTTAAACAACAAATATTGTTGCATGAATGAATGAATAATGTTAATATACAATATTTCCACTTAGTTGATGACAGTTTTTATAATCGTCTACAATAGCCTTAGATGTGAAATTATAAAAGTGAAATTATAAATATTTTAGGTGGTAAATGGCAGGATCCAGTTTCATTGTTTTGCATGTGGCTGTTCAGTTTTCCAAACACCATTTATTGAAGCCCATTTTATAAAGAAATCGAGGCATAGAGATTTAGGAACATGGATGAACCTTGAAAAAGTTATTATGTTAGGTGCAATAGGCCGGACACAAAAGGCCACATAATGTATGATTCCATTTATATGAAATGTCCAGAATAGGCAAATAAATTAATGACTGTCAGGGGATGTAGAGGGGAGAATGGAGAGTGACTACTAATGGGCATGAACATGAAAATGTTCTAGAATTAGATAGTGGTAATGGTTGTACAACTTTATGAACATACTAAAAGTTGCTGAATTGTATACTTTAAAAATAAATTTAAAAAATTTAAATGCCTTGCAATATAATTGTAGGTAAGAGAATATTTTAAAACTACCTGTAAATTTGGTTCACAATTTATCATTGATTCTTCTGTAACAGAAATCAACATTTGGTCCGTAATTATTATGAACTTGGGTTTTTATTTCACTTGCTGGCTGAATTGATTTGATGTACAGTATTAGACTTTCTTTATCATTTCGCCTAGGCAACTCCCGACACGTTGCAAAATCTCAGGTGGGGGAAGATACAAAAAAATACAAAGTTAAGTAGTTTTGCACAATTCAATAAAGCCTATAACTACATTTACTCTTATAAAACAGTTTCTTAAATGCAAACCGGTATATAATATTGACATGGATTAGGTGAGTACTTCTAGAGGGAAGTGGGGATGGTCAGGGGAGGCATCCTGGAAAAGGAAATGTTTAAGCATCTGTTCCTTCCACAAGCATTTATTGAATATCTGCTGTACCCTAGGCACTGTTGTTGGGTGCTGTGTATAGCCAGATAACAGCTACAGTCCCTGCCCTCATGGGGCTCAAAGACAGTGGAGAAGACACAATTCTACAGATGGTCACAGAGCAGGATTATAAGTGCTGCTGTAAAGGTAAGCACAGGTTGCTCTGGATGCCTCAGCTTGGCAGGTGCATCAAGTCAGGGAAGCCTGGATGATGGATATGATTTCTGAGCTGTGAACTGAAGAATGAATGGGGGTGGCAAAGGCTTGGAGGACAAGGGTGTACTGGATTCCAGGACTGGATTCCAGGAACTGCAAATAGTACATTGGAGTTTGGGGTACAAACAGTGATAAGCCATGGGAGGTTAGATCACAAGTAGCTATGAAGGCCATCTTAAGAGAGTAGAAAATAAAGGAGTTTAAGAGAAAGCATAAGATTTTCAGATTTGCAGTTTAGAAATAGGCTGCATCGTGGAGACTGGAATAGAGGCATATGAGAAGGAAAGCAGAAACTTTTCAGGACAGTGTTGCCCTAATTGGAGAGAGAAATCATGGGATGATGGAAAGAAGTGGATGGAGACAAAGGAGTTAGAATGATTGGGGCTTATTCACCAGTTGGATGTGTAAGCGATCTGTGACTCCCAGGCCCTCTCGCCACTCCTCCATCGTCTCTTCCATCTCAGTCTGACCCCAGTGTACCTTTCTCGGTCTGATTTCCTGCTTCTCTTCATGAATATGCTGAAGTCTGCTTACTGTCCACCAAATAGGCTTGCTGGTTTTCTTCCTGCTGCCTTTGATCACACCTTTATCTTCATCTGGAATGGAGCGTGCTTTTTTCTCTTTACCTTTCTAAATCTGACTTATGAAGCCTTTGGAATTGTTCTGTGCACCAGTGACCTCTTTCTCCTCTGAAGTCATAGCACTTCATACCTCTATCACTTATTAACAAATAATTACGTTTTGGCTTGTCACATCTCTTAGTTGCTTTGGGTTGTTGGTAACTGTTGAACTGTTTTAAAATTACAGCAGGCAGAGCAGGATATATTGATAGGATGGCTTAAATAGTGGACTAGGAATCATCTCTCCTAAACGCCCCAATCCCAGCCCTAACTCCTTGTGTAACTTGGGCGAATTACTTTTCCCCCCTGAATGGAATAACACATAGTTGTGGTAGAATACTTGAAAAATCTTAAAGAATGTACAAAATGAAGTCATCACTATCCCCACAGACACCCAAGATAATCACTGTTATTAAATGGGTAATTTTTCCTGCAATGTCCTCCCCATCTTCCATCTTTTTTCTCTCTCTAGGATTATTTGTATGTGTCTATGCAACATAGCTAGGCTCCTCCTCTGCATGCTGTTTTGTAACCTGCCTTTTTCATTAACATATTGTGGGGTTACTGAATCAGAATGTGAGGGTTTTTAAGTCCAAACTGATATATGAGGCCAAATTGTCCTCAAGAAAGGTTGCACCAAAAAACTGAGTAGTGATTATCTCTGGGAAGTAGGGAGAGGAACTTTAGCTTTTCAGTGATATGTTTCTATATTATTGAATGTATATTTTTATTATCATGAGTCTAAGTAACTTTTATAGTTTGAAGATGACAGTAATTTATACTTCTAACTAATCCAGGATTGTATCTATGTTTATAAACAGCTACACCACCTTTACTGATTGGATAGATAAAAAATAGCATCCTGTTATTTTAATTTGACTGTTAGTGAAATATGACCTTTTCACCATGATCATTTGTCATTTTTTCTTTAGTTGTTTCCATTTCCTTTGCCTCCTGATGACTTGGATTTGAGTCCCAGGTAATAAATACATATGACCTTTTACAAGTCACTTAAGTATCTCTAGGCCTTAGTTTACTTATGATCAAAATAAGAGGAATGATACTTAAAATTATTGTGAGGATTAATGGAGATCATATATTGAAAGTGCTTTTTGTAAGCTGTAAAAAGTATATAATTGTATTTATTGACTGTGTTTATTGATTTTGTATTGATTTTGATTAGTTAATGGTTATGTATAGTTACGCCAACTTTGCTTTTTTGTATTCATTTGGAGAAAGGCTAAAAAGACAGAGGTTCCTTCATTAATATTTGTTTTAGTACAGTGTGAGATCCATGAGATGTGGCATCTGAGGATCAGTTTTGTGCTGCATTTCTGCTACTTATTAGCTGTGTGTACCCGTGTAATGCACTGGACAAACACAGTTCTTTTGGCCAAGACAGAAATGTTCAGGTACCACCTGGCTAGACACACATCAGAGAGCTGCATGGGTTGATAAAACGTTCATGTAAACTAATGGAGACTGTTTATTCTTTTTTTTTTTATTTTTTAAAGTTAATTTTTATTGGAGTATAGTTGATTTACAATGTTGTGTTTCTGCTGTACAGCAAAGTGAATCAATTATACATATACATATATCCACTCTTTTTTTAGATTCTTTTCCATATAGGTCATTACAGAGTATTGAGTAGAGTTCCCTGTGCTATACAGTAGGTTTTTATTAGTTATCTATTTTATATATAGTAGTGTGTATATGTCAATCCCAGTCTCCCAATTTATCCCTCCTCCCCACTTTCCTCCTTGGGAACTATAAGTTTGTTTTCTACATCTGTGACTCTATTACTGTTTTGTAAATAAGTTCATTTGTACCATTTTTTTAGATTCTACATATAAGCTATATCATACATTTGTCTTTGTCTGACTTATTTCACTCAGTATGACAGTCTCTAGGTCCATCCTTGTCTCTGCAAATGACATTTTCGTTCTTTTTTTTATGACCACAGAGACTGTTGAAATGAATGCTAGTACAAAGGAACTTGTTCATGCAAATTCCACTAACCGGATTCCCCTCCCGCCCCCCAGTTCCACCCCTTACAGTTCTGTGAAATGAAAATTGGTCATAATCATGATTCTAAGGCCTGAGAAGGTCTGATATGCTCTTCTGAATCATCAAAGGCAGAGAAATTTCCATTGAACATGATTTTTGTGAATCCTGCCATATTTAGATCCCTGGAAATGTGCGTACCTTATATCTATCAATTATCCAGGACATTGACTCTGGATAAGAGGGAAACAAGGCTGTGTAAACAACTCTGCTGAGTAATAGGTGACCTCCTAACCTCCTATTTCTGACTCTGTGTTTCCTTTTATCCAAGGACAAGATGTTATAAAAATAATTCAGAGTGACTCCCAAGGGTAGCCCCGTGAACAACTCTGTGAGGCTGCACTGCAGAGGAGGATTAATCAACAGCAGCAGAATATTCGTTCCCCCAGTGCTGTTAGGAAATGTCCCAGCCAGGCTGGCTCTTCAGCCAATGAGGACAAAAGCTTTGGGAAAGTTTTTTCTGACTCATTCACAGTGTAATTTGCAGAAGAAAACCTCTAGCTTCTTATTTTATTATTATTTTTTTAAAGTTGTTCTTTGTGGGAGTTATGTGTGTGTAGTAAGGTGGGGTTAGAGTATGGATCCCCTCCATGAATATTCAAATTAGCTCTTACCAGTGGCAATATTTGCGGCTGTTTGCTCAGTTAACTTTTATTGTCCTGGGATGTTCACACTGAGGGAAAGGGGAGGTGGAGAATCTTAGTGTACAGTGCCTGTATATCCATCAAGGACTAGTTGACTCATTTAAAATATTTTAAAAGAGGATATTATTTTCTGCAGATGAATTTAAAGTGTCCCCATGCTTTTCCCTGTCATCTCCTTGTGTCTGAGTTCCCCCCATCTCTACATAGCACATATTCACATACTGGGGGACTTTTCTTGTTTCTGAGGAATTCATGTGAGTCTGGGGATTTGAGTTCTCCTCTGGGGTTGTCTCCTCAAAGGAAAGTCCATACTCCTGAGTTGGGCATTTATGGTCTGCTGTAAACTGGTCTCAGCTTTCTCCTTTTTCTCATTTCTTTCTATTCTACACAAACCTTCTGGTCAGTCTCCAAAGGGTTTTACACAGCCCCTTTCCTTCTTTTGTTATTTCTTCATGTTTCCATTATTTGGAATGTTCCCCTCAGTTGGCTGCTGTTCTCTTCCTATTTGTATCTTCCCCATTCCTAAAGGCCCAGTTCAAATCCCACCTGCCCCATAATGGTCATACTATTATATGCCTAATATGGGCCAGGTGTTCTACTAGACCTATACATATTTTTTCTCTCAGAGTGTAAAACAGTCCTGTAAAAGAATTACTGTTATCTTTATTTGCAAATGAAAAAATAATCACTGAAAGTTAAAAAGTAACCTGATCCCAGCGACTGAGTGCCAGGGCCAGTGTTCTAGCTCAGTTCTTCTTGACCAGAATGGTTAACTCCACCATGCTGGTTTTTCCTGAATTCTTCTGGATTGGGTTAATTACCTCAACCCCCCACTCACACCTTCTCTGAGCATACTCTTTGCCTTGGTTGGATGTGTCTTGTGTTTGGCAATCAATCATGTATCAATATTACTACTTTTGCACATTCTTGGGTTGCTAACTCTTCTTTGATGATAACATCTTTTCTTGCATTCTTTTATTCCCACCAAAGTGTGCTTCACAGGCTTTTCATAATGAGTTTTTGTTTGGTTGGTTATTTTACTTAATGAAAATGTCCAGGAGCGAGGGAGTTATTCCTTCTAGTTGTTATTATGTTTATGTTTTTCTTTTTAGTCTAATTTGTCATTAACATCCTACCATAATATTTACCTCCACAGTGCTCTTAGAAAATTATCCTCCCTTTCTCTCTTTCTACATTTTTTTCTCTTAAAAGGAGAGGCCAAAGAAGCTCCATGGCTGAAGTCTGTACCATTCCCCTCCTTCCCCCCAAAAATTAAACAGGAAAATTGAATGAATGAAGAGCAGGCATTGCCACTGAATATTTTGGTGCAACGAGATGGATGCCTGTTGTCTGTTAGACAGGGGCCCTTTGATAAAAGAATTATGGCTGTGGTCATGTTCTGGCCCTGCTTGGGGCCTCGCTTTAAGGATACAAAAAAGTGTCTCATTGAGGTTCTGCCTTCTTATGAGCAGAGTATAAAGTAAGCATTTATCTTGAGAAAGAATAGCTGTATTTGCTCACCTTTGTCAGTTCATTGGTAGAGAAAACATAATTTTATGTTGCTGCAGAAGACTCCTAGCTAAATTCATCATAATATACTATCTGTTTAAACCTTCAAAACTTGGGAAGCTTTCTCCTCCCTAGAAATATCCATTGATGACCATGCGCTGAATTCTTCTCTCCGTTTACAATGGTTATTTCCATAAAATACATTGAAAAGTTTGCACAGATGTGAAGGAAACAAAGGATTTTGAATTCTTTAGTTTCCTGCAAAGCATCACTAGGAGATGTGATTCTAAGGTTAGAAACTGGGGATTATGGGAATAAATCATGGGTAATGGCAGAATTTAAAATCTGAATCTTCCATGCCTTGTGGATATGTTTCTACATTTCCTTGATCTCTGGTAGCATTATATGGATTTAGGAAGTAAACAGCTGAAGAGCTTTCTGGGAGAAGAACCTGTATTGTGAAATGACTGTGAGTGTGGCAGTGTGGATCTCAGTGCAGCTGTTTGTTTTAAAACATCATAGGCTGCATGGTTTGGGAAAAGAGGGATGATCTTCTCATAGAGGAATTCCAGATGAAATGCAGTTCACTATTTTATGTTCAGCTGACTATAAACAGTGATTATAAAGTAAATTCTGTTTTGGTAATCTTGTTCAGTCCTTTAAACCAGTGTTTCTCAAACGGTGGTTTATTATTCATTAGCGGACTATGAAATCGATTTTGTGGGTCTTATTTAGCATTTAAAATCTATTATTAAAGAGAAGAAAATAGTATAGAATAGAAAATATCAGAGTGAATTACATGTAGTGAGGATATTTTTCTGTGAAATTCATTTTTTGTCATACACACATTTCTTACTGTAGATCATGGTAAAAAAGGTTTGAAAAGCGGTCAGCATGGGTTCCTAGGATGTCAGATAGTGGTGTGTAACCGTTACTGGACTCTTGGCTGGTGCCGGAGACAACTGGGGCAGGTGGAGAGGAGAGAGGAGGCTCCGTGCTGTGGAGGAGCAGTGTTGACCTGGTGATCAAGTCTGCTGTCCTGGTGAAGACCGAGTGGATTACTCACTGTGCAAACACAGTTCACGAAGAGCTCTGCCTTAGTGCAGCACTGGAGGCTGTTGGTAGAGGCTATTTCAAGTCTAAACAGGAAAACTGATTACAGTTTCTTGGTTGAGGAGAGGTGCAGGAGACCATGTAGGGAAACACTTTCCTTGAGATTTCCTTTTATTTCTCTCCCCAGCGTCACTTTATATTTTGAGGCAATAGCTGAGCTCCTTTGGGGTATAGACTGGAGTGGACATTGCCATTTGATAGCAATTAACATGCATTGACATTGTCCAGCTTCTGAACCCCCTTCATTTCTGGAGTGATCATCCGTTGTTGCTGTGGAAGCTGAAGGAGGTACAGACACATGACTAGTGGTGAACCAAGTCCAGCCTATTGGATTCCTCTGTCCCAAGACTTAGCTTCTGGAAGGAATGGTACAAATACATAGGGGTGGCTTGAGATCATTCGTGGAAGCAGCAGAATGAGGAGTCCAGTTGTGGTGATGGCTGGTGACCAGTGGTGGCCGTGCTAGAACGATGTCCTTATCAGACTGTTCCTGTGTTCTTATATCTTCCTCTTAATTTATTTTCATCCTAAGGTAGACAGAGTTGGTTTCTGTTGTTTGCATCCCAGAACCCTAAGTGGGTAAAGACTTAACAGGAAACACGTTAGATGGATTTCTGCCCCCAAAGAGCTTAGTACATAACAGAGAGGG